TTAGTATATATATGATTAGGCGTAATTTTTTGAGCAAATTAGAATCAAGTTAACAGGATTGATGAAACCTAGCGATTTCGCCTTAAGACTCCCCTGTGGCGATCATAGGGGCGCTGGAAAAACGTGTTGGTTAATAGCTGAATTCGTTCCACGCGATGTTTGCAAGAGTTACCGCACAAGTAATAATAATCATTAGCATTTCAATGTAGATCATCTGAAATCGACGTTGGCTTAATTACCCCGCTCCGTCCCCCCTAAGATTTAACAAAACTTCTAAGTATGGGCGATGTTTGAATATAAAATTTTTGTCGTCGTCCCAACTATTTCTCGCGAAGCGTTTTTACGGACACTCAAATTAGCAATAGCTAAGTAGTATTAAATACAGGACTACGGTGGGTAAGAACCTGAACGAGGTCAGCGTCGAGAACCTTTCAATCCTAACGATTTATTCAATTGAATTATAATAACATTTAAATATTGTATTTTGTATCCAGCGGTGGCTCGGTTTTACTTTAGACTGGATTAAAAAAAAAAAAGAAACAATAGATTCGTTTCATACAAAATACACCCACTTCGAGGATTTTCTTTTTCCCTAGTTTTATCAACAAATATGGTTTACCTGGTTCGAACGACGCTTGTCCAGTCGCCGCTATGCAAAACGGCGAAATACGGTTGTGCCGTTCATACTGTTAGTAGCACACGGTGTTGAGGCATATAGCAAGGGACGCGACAGTGTTATGCAGCTCTGGCTGATGTTGTCCTTAAGACTGACAAATTGGGGTGTAACGGCTAACAGAAACGTAGTGACTATTAGGGAATAGTCAAACACGATCCAAGCTTACCTGTTTGAGGTAATCAAGGTGAAGCTGAGCAAGCAATGTCTGATATAGCTGATACGACTTTTCTGATCTTAAAAAGCCTTAGTGCAATAACGGCAGAGTCGCCCCAAACGGGGTTAAATTATTATTATTATACGTAGATAGATCATCGTATACGGTTCTTTCTTTAATATAGGCAAACGAAATAAATAAATTCTTGTGAATGAAAGATTATTTATAGATATCATATTTGCTGATATATTTATAGATTCATATATGCTGTGTTTTATCATCTCAACCGTGACCTACCGTGAACTTTTGCGGTGACGCAAAAGGTGAGCTTGAAAGTTACAAACGATTGTATGGAATCGCATAACGAAGTCGACCTACAACATAACCAGGTGCAAATAGACATGTTATGTAAAAAAGTTTGATTTAATCAAACGGCACGGCTGGTACGCTGTCATTTTTCTAATGTATGCGTAGGCATAGACACAGTATGTATATCGCCAGACGAAATATGCGCAACACGTGTGGCACAAAGCATTTTCGGAAAGAGGAACTTCGGAAGGTTGTTTGATCGAGCGTTACTATCTAAATCAATGTAATTTATAGGCTATTAAACGTTTGTACTCTAAATGACATTATCGTACTGATATCGAGCTGATAGATTAACGGATAAATGATAACGTTTTGTTCAGAGACGACTGGAGCTACTTCTTCCGGTATTGCTGTTTCGTGATTTCCAATGCTGTATGGACAAACTCTTCAATTATTATTTATCAACTGTAGATTATTACGGCTACGGGCACTTCCATTTAGCTATTGGGCGGACTCTTCGGAAAGTTAAATATATTAACGACCTACAAAGACCAAATGACGTCAGATTTATGCATAACCGTTCCTTTAATAGGGGCATCTGAAACTTTATATTTCTTAGCATATTTGTCGTTATCCTCTAGTTCTAAAGCTATTTACTGTTGCGGGTTTCTTTCTTGAGCGCACCTGCAATATATGGCAGAATATTGCCCATTTGCCTTCCTGTCATATTTATCCAAAAACACTTTCATAGTGGAACATTTAGATCTTAACAAAACACCAGAACCGGATTAAAGCTTGGAATCTTTATTCGCAACCATGACCGTGTTATCATCGCGCATTTGTTTTAAAATAAACCGGTCTAATTTCTGTTTCTCGGAGTTTTCTCGTTTGGTAGATCTCGAGCTGTACCATCGATGAATTATTTTCTATTTTCACCATAACGTGAGAAAGCGCGGCCTGAACGAGGAAAAGGATGCAAATTGCGGTTAGCTATTCCTCTGTTCTCCTTGAGGAACTGGACTCGCGCGACTCTCTCGGGACGAGAGGCTGGATGGTGGCTGGTCAGGAGGAGTTACGCTTGGCTGGATGCATTATTCATGAGAGTCTTATGGATTGCCCGTCGGTGGGCTCAGAACCTGGACTGCTCTTCGGTTACGAGCAACCGCCACCTTCAGGAAGTAGCTTCAACTAGATATTGCAATACATGATGATACATAGCCGGCTGAGGACGATCCACTAGGCCAATTATGTCCTTTGTAAGTGGGTTATGCAACTCAGCCATCTTAGGTAATTTGATAAACTACCAAGCCTCCCTTGCCACGATGCATACAATATTTTTAATTTTATTTGTCATTTCTGGTTTTAAAAGACATTCAAATATACAAAAAAGCAAGTCAGTGAATCAATATATTTGTCTAAGTAAACTGCTTGAAGCTTAACAACAACAAACGAAAATAGGAGAACCTGATATAAATTTACCTGAAACGCTTCGGAGACAGGGCCCTTACATATCTAATTTTCAGATAGTTTCCACGAATTCCTCTTAGTAAATCTATAAGTAAGTTGAAACAATGATTCAGTTAGATCGTAGCAGAACATATTCATGTCTACCCTTTGTTGTAGGTTGTGCTTTGCCAGCATGCCTAAGTGTAACATTTATCATGCACAATCGAGATTATAAGACACGTGCTGTGATTCACATCCAGCCCCTGATAAAATTCAATACGTTTTTGTCTTACAATGTCTCAACCAAGAACATTCAGATATTCAAAAATATGCGCCCTATTGCAAGATAAATTGGTGATCGATTTAGTAAAGGGTTAAGCTGAGTCTAGTATTACGTCACCCAGATATCGATCTTCGTTTGCAATAGGTTTATTATACATCATTGTTGTGTTTCGTGTCGCGTATGTGTACTCTTACTGCCTCCGAAGCAATACAAAATGGACTTCATTTTGCAAGTGTGTCGCTTGACTTCGTTTATTCAGTGAGTGAAGCCGCTAGTGCTCACGGTAAGGCAAAGACCAATCCTGAAAAAATGAAAGTTGAAATTTGAGTGAAGTGACTAGTGTTCCCTACTGTAGTTCATAACAATGTATTTACTGTTCACCGAACGAGTTGGCTTATCCGCTATGCGCGTGTTGGCTTAGGAGCTCAACAGGAGCTCTTTATCAAGGACTGTGCGTAGTTGCTTTTGAGTACGTGGAAAAACTTAGAGTCCCGTATCCCGCCCAGTGGAGTACAACAAAGCCTGTAGACCCTTACCTGGTCAATAAGTCTCGCCAAAAGAACCCTGGCTTAATTTTATGTAGACCCGGGGTTGACAGGTCTAGTGAGGGTTTTCGCTTTCGACAAGCGCAATATTAAGCAGTTGTTTATAAACTTTTCGAGTTTATACTGTCATAACAGAGAGATCGAGCCGTGTCGACCACGACGACATAGATGCACTGAGCTTTACAGGTCTTGGCGCTCGTTAAGTTGGACATCACGTTGCGATACAGCGAGGTATACTCTTTACAGTGTATTGTTGTATTAACGCCTTGGGAAATCGTTTTTTGCCCCTTTTTACATTGCCTTGATTAAGCTACCGTGGGTTGCGTACGAATATAGTTAACGACCCACCTAAATCGCTGTGCCTGGTGTATCTACTATGGTGAATGACAAAAGATGGCTTCTTGCTTACATGGGAGCATTTCGAAAAGTACGTGGATCTAAGCCCAGAAAAGCCAATGCTATTAATATTTAATAATCATAGAAACCACACCTTATTTGAATTCACCAAATATCCACGAGCAATCTATGTTAACACTAGCACTGCAATACTTTCATAAACTACAAATTCTCGATAAAGCTGCGCTTAGACTCATTACAGTGGCCTATAATTTGGCCCTGAACGATCTGCTAGTATCACATTTGAATATTCAGGTTAGTTCGTATAACATCCCAAAATGTATACGTTTGATGACTCGATCAAATATTCGCGCCAGATTCGTATCAACGGAATTTCTTTTTTTAAATAGTTAATCTTTCAGCGATATTAACTTTACGGCCGATTCGGATGGTGCATGCAGTGCCTCGCTGATCATTGTTCTACCTGACAACCTGCTTAACCTAAATAAGTCCTTTTCGTATAGAGTGGCAAGCCGATAGGGACAATCAGAATTCTTTTGAATTCCAACTGAATGAACTTAAGTGTGTCACTCGTTGTGAATTTGATCGGTATAGAGAGCTTCTTCAGTAACGAAGCGTCATGGTATGGGTGCACGAAGAGCAGGGAGGGACAACAAAACTGACACAATCTGAATTGAGACAACATATAGCGTAATAGTGTTGCTTATTCTCGCAGCGGAACCTCTAAATGTATTTTTGTGAGCTCGATCTGTCCATTTTAGCTCAAACCCTATCTAATCTGTGCCAAGGAAGGGGGCAAAGCGCACGTTTTACAGATCTGTCTAACAAGAACAAACGAGAGTGGCCATACCGTGTATGTAGTACAATCTAGGCACAGTATGTGCAGATTACTGGCAGCGGTTTTCGAAAGATTTAAAACATTTTAAAAAAATACGTTTTTTAACCCCACCGTCCCGTATTATACACATGTTGACTCTGATTGACGCGAGGAATTGTATACACGTATACATGTACCCGTATACGCTCCATAAAATTAGAGAATAAATCTATAACAAAGACGTGAGCGATAATATCGGAAATGTTTTCTTAGAAATATATTCTATTGCTCGTTTAAACAGTTTAACAAATCTTCTTACCAAACATGGGTCAGCTTTACTCGAGTTTGAGATGGAAAGCACAACGCGCCTGAAATTCAGTATTGATGTTTGAATGTTGGACTTACGGTTCTAGCTCCCAAGCCGGTGGACTACTGCGGCGGCGGAGGCTTTGGGCCCGGCAGCGGCGGCGTGGGGAGCGTGGGGGGCGCCATGGGCGTCCCCGGCGCTCCCGGAGGCGCCGGGGGGACCCAGGGGGGAGCCGCGGGAGGCGCGGGGACGGGCAGAACGAACTTCACGACCAAGCAGCTGACCGAGCTCGAAAAGGAGTTCCACTTCAATAAGTACCTGACCCGAGCGCGCCGCATCGAAATCGCCACCGCCCTGCAACTCAACGAAACCCAGGTAGGTCAAGCAGTTTTATAAAGTAAAGAACTGAAAGACATTTGGTAATGTCAACAAGTGGTGTTACTCTCATATTTTATCGTAGTGATCCGCTCTCTTCTTTATCGTGTTTCCATAATTGTTGACTGGATGGTTTGAATAGTTCCCTATTTCATAAATGTTATTTGAATGCACCTAGATACATAGTTAGTACACAGGATGATGCACTCAAATGCGGGCTAATTTGTCCGAGCTGCTTGTCGTAGCGGGCGCGTATTCGCTGCTTTCGGAACCGAAAGAAAGCCAGACCTTAGTAGACTCGTTGAGTTCCAAAAACCGTGCGCCATCTTCAAAATTTGAACGAAGATGTGCTATTATTCGATGTGTTTGAATGGAATAAATCTCTACCAAAGTTACAAGCTTTTTTCTGTTGAAAATTGCAAACGTACATTATTATCAATTTTCATATGACTTTATGAAGGATTGGAGAGAATTTCTCAAAGGCTGAACCGAAACATCCTCAATAAAATGTAGGTTTTTGAAAGGTCGTTTGGAAATTAATCAAAATGCCCCAGAAAGCCACCTTTGATGCACCTGGACCTTTTATACGGAAGTTAACGACCGTTTTGAAAGGCAAAAAGATCAATTCCTAACCGGGTCGTCTAGATGAGCTTCAACGGTTACTCTTTCTAGAACATTTGCGTGTGTTTCTTTTGCACTATTCGGCCGTTTCGAACTCTTGATCTCATTCCACTGAACTTTATTCAAGAGAGACCGTTTAGCGGGTTTATGCGAAATTACTATTAAAACGATATCTGTAAAATAAAGAAGGGATATTTTAAAAAATACAGAACTGAATATGATAGTTATATTGAATAAACTGTCCGGAATGATACTTCTAGAAGCGGTACGTAAAGAAATTCTGCTGCAATATCTGTTTTTGCCTAGATACAGCCACCAGTATGCCAGACAGATTCGGATGTTCGATGGTGTATATTGAATAGGCAGTTGGGTTTCACGATCGTATCTCCTCGTTTGTAGTTTAAAAGAGATTTATTTTGACAAAACGGAGGTAAGTGTTAACTATCCTAATACAAACTATTTGATGCCGATAAAAAACGCGTTTATAACTTTATGCAGTCATGGCATCGTTGAAGGGTATTTTACAAATACGGTTACAAGATATCATTCCCAATAAATATATGCCTTTTTCTAATAAATTTTATTTTACGCCACTCTCTGACCGTTGCACCAATTAAGTGTACTCCTCTCGTAAACCTAAAAATTATTTCTAGTTTTTATAAAACCCAAAGGATGAAGCATCGTTGAGACAGGCTACTGCGTCAAAAGAAATTGCGACTATAATAGAACATACGATATGCAGTTACAGTGGATATACACGGAGTAGTAGTAACGGAGTGAGTTGTTGGCGCGTTAGCGTAGTCAAATCGACATTGTTCGGATGCACTATAAGATGGAAAGGAAAACCCCCTGGGTTACCTTTTCGTTACAGACAGTAACAACAACTTGATAGTAAACAGCGAAAGACATTGGGCAACGAAGCTAAGCACCAGGAATTACAACACGATGGTAGAAGAATAGAGCCTTGTCCACACTAGCAACAATCTTATCTAGTCTAAATGGGCGTAGACGACAAATAGAATCCTATTTCTTTGATCCGTTCGTACTTACCTATCTATCTCGACGGGAGTACGAGTATCTAGTGTAAGTTCAAATTTGAGCTGCGCCATGCAGTGACTCTAAAGTAAGCTCGCAAGTGTATTTGCGGGCCCTCATTTCAGATTACGACCAGGTCCTACGAACGATTGAAAAGTGGCACGCAAAAAACAATGAGCTAGTGTTTCAACGACTTCGTGATAAACGAGGAGTGTACGATCATGACCAGCAGCAGGTGATACAGAACGTTAACATGTTGCATGACGAATATCTATGGGCTAGCCAATCACGCAGCAGCCGTTAAAGACAAACCCAAAACAGCCACGCATATCACCTTTGAATCGTATCTCATGTGCATGGACAGAATTGAATCGGGTTCTCTTGGTGCAGTGCCCATGAAATTTTGTTCGACTGAGATGTCTGTAGTTGATCGACGCGATCGTGCGCGGACATGCTGTGCAATACATTCTATGGCCATTTGATTGCGCGAAGTGAGGCGTAACGACATCGCAGCGAGTTACTTGAGTCAAGCCAAGTGGTGCGAATCTGCTGATGCCGTTGCTGCTGCTGCCGCGGCGGCCGCTTCACCTCCGTCTCTTGTTGGACGCACCACAATGGTGCTCATCAGATCGTCATTAAACACTTCGGAGGAGAACAAGTTGAACTGACGGAACAGCGTTATCTACGGCGACGGCAGTAACTCTGACGGGGATCATATCATAATCGTTGGCTTTCGGCAGGACGATGAAGCGCGGAAAGCTTGGTGTTCTTCCCGCCAGGCGCGCTGTAACTATCTGTCTCGTTGGGAGCTTCTTTTTGAAACTGCGTCCACGACCACAATGCACAGCGGTGACGCCGACGGGCAACCGGAAAACTTGCAAGCCACAAAGATTCAGGAGCAGCAGAAACATCACCTAGGCTGCCGCGGCCGCCAAGGAAACAAAGTATATTCGCTCGTATGATTCTTTAGGTTTTTGTTGTCGCTATGGCGCGCTTATGATGAATGTTGTGGTCGCTTGCCGGGGTGAGACTAGCCAAAGCTCATGATTAGTCTACGAAGAGTCATGACTTAGACTCCATTTCTAATTCCGTTTCGGTATTTCTTTACTGTGCTACGTGAGTCTTAGCCGGCTAGGGCTGCGACACAATTTAACCTTGAATATTGGGTTTGTCGTTGAAACTTAGTTGTATCCAATCTGAAAACTAAACTAACAAAACAGCAATTCGGCGGGGGGGGGGGGGGACAATGGCCCCTGCTAGTTTTGTAGGAAGAAACGCCGCTAAGTCGTTGAATGATTTCTCTGTTTTTACTATTTTGTTAGTACTTGCTAAAAATAAGCATGTAAAAACACCGAAACCACGTGACTGATACGAGGTAAAAAATAACCAAAACGTATCAAACTGTTTCGGAGTGTTATTATTGAACCAATCAACGCAGTCAGGAAAGGACGTTCGCTATAACGTCGCCTCACAAGTCTGTTTATTTTTCACTCATTACAGGTGAAGATTTGGTTCCAGAATCGCCGTATGAGGCAGAAGAAGCGAATGAAGGAAGGTCTGATCCCGCCCGGAGCTGCGTCGAGCCAGCAAACACTAACTCTGGCAAGTGGGCAAGAGCTGCAGCCTGGCCAAACGGACCTGGGACTTATTGCGGGGCAGCACCAAATTTTGGCTCAGACCTCCCCTCATCATCCTGGCAATATCAACAAGCTGTCGCCTCCCTCGCCTCTTAAGGACAGTCAATAAATGCTCTTCATCCATATATTTCACTCAGTCAATGAAGTGATGTCATCATGTCATCTGGGAAGGTCGTCTAGACATACTCAACGTCTGGCAGACGGCGACGTCACTGGAGCTTGATTTCCGCTCCATTATCTCCTTGAAAACCGGTCAGGACATCAAAATATGACACTAGAACAAACGAAATTATCCGAAAGCATTGTAACTACCGTCATCTCCAGAGGTTATCTTCGCCAACGAAATTCTCGTTGCAACGTCTGTAGCAGGACAATTGAGAAGTAAGAAATCATACCTTTTGGATGATTATTAACGGCAAGGACTCTTAAACCAATAAAACTTTATTGACGATCAACTGCTGTTTGGCGAATTGAGAACACCAAGGAGAATGAATGAATGAATGAAAACTAGGATATTTTGTTTTAATTGTGAATTTTAAAAAAACACTTGTAAGACATTGCTGTTCGTCGACGTGGTGGCTGGGATCCAACTGAACAACGGTGCTTCTTGAGTTTCCGGGTCGGGAAAGGGGACTGGCGCCAAAGTCGGCCATCAGGTTGGCGACAACGTGTCTCCCTCTTGTTTGTGGTGACCCTGTCGCTTATGACCTGCTCGGCCGCGTTTGGGCGAGCCTGTCCCTTAGGCAGGGTTTATCCCTCAGACCTTTCCATGTGATATATTCATTGAAATAGGAGTGTGTATGTATACTGAGGCAAAGCCGTTACAACGTTTTGACGTGAACGAATGTTAACAAGCTCGCCGGCGATGTGTTATATTTGCATCGTTTGTTAATGCTGAATTCCGGAAATTTGGGGTATCGGCGTTGCCCAGCGTCAACCAATCCTGTAAAGAAAATTGTGTAAAGCCAATTATTATAATGACATATTATTATTTGATAAAGAACGATTTACTATTGATAATTCATTATTTTACCATTAAGTCGGGTACGTGCGTATAGATGTGAGCGTGCGCAATTATCTCGGCTAATTGAACCACTTCTGAGGTACAACTTCATCACTTATCTTTGTGCATCTCCGGTTTCCCTTTTTCATGAGATTTTGAATCCAGTGAGCCTACCTTCATGTCAAAAGTTAGCTAAACATAGTGTCCTTTCACAGCATAAATGGTTGCATTTATGTGTAGTATGCAATAATACATGAATAAGGTAAATATAGGTTTACCCGAAGAAACCATATCAGGTCTTCCAGTAAGCTCGTAGGGTCATGTAACTTCCACTGTCTAATAATTTAAGTGTGCGTTGCGCATTTTTTATACCAGCCTTGACCCTATGCATTATTATTTTCAAGCTATCATAAAATCGTAGGTTGCATACTAATCAAGGAACTTTGAGCACAAAAATAATTTTATAGAGTTTCTGTACTACTCAATCATTTGCTGTGATAAACGCTTATTGCGTTCTCAATTGAATTGGCCAATAATCACCCCTATTTAGGGCGTCAGCCTAACCTAGTTTTTTTTTTTTACAAAACTTCGTTAAAATGTACAAATTATATGGATTTTCAACAGGCTAGGTCCTTAGCAAAAGCCTGTGTATTACCTTACAGGAACTGATAAATCTCTGTTTCAAAAATATATTTTGCTTTTCTCTATGTAAGAAAAAGAGGGAAACGCTGGGATCCATGGTTTGGCTCATCTGTTGATGTCCGAGGATCCGACTGTCAAACGAGCATACACGTTTAGATCATTCAAAATCCAGGAGAAACTGGAGACGAAAGGATAAATGAACTGTTGTGCCCACCTGGTCGTCATATATTAATTACTAGTCATCCACCCACCCTTCCATTCAACCAACTCCGCGGGCAGCTAGCCAGCTAACAGAGTTCGCGCTGGAGGCCGTTCAAAACATACCGGCCTTACATAAAAGATGTGTGCACAGACTCCTCCATAGACTTTCAATAAAGTAAAGTCGAGCCTCTGATCGACGGTTGTGCGTATATTGACTCAGCGGTCCTCGCCTCTTTTTTAATGGGTGGGTCATTTAGTGTATAACCATCGAGCTGGTAACAAGCGGTGGTAGTCTGAATTGGAGGTGCCGTTCCAGCGTCCACTGTGTAGGCCCCTTAGCCGTCGTTGCGTGGTAACCACATTGAGGCAGTTTGTAAAGAGATAGGATTGGATGGAGGTGGTGAACAGTGGTGGCTGTCGTTGGTAGTGGTGGATAGTAAAGCGGCGCGCGCACGCACGCCCGCGGCAACTAAGTTATTATACCTGTGTCATGAAAATGGCAAGAGCTGAGATGGCGACAGGATGACGTCGCATTGTGTTTACGCCGCTGTTTTCGTTTATCTGTCCATCTATTAACGTGGTGCGATCTGAGGGCCGGCGAAGCTTACCTATGTTTAGTTCCTCGAATATTTGCTCCGTTCTGGGGAGGGGGCTGGCTTCGTCGGAAGAATGGAGATAACGCATATGGATAATAACGGGAATGTAAAACATCTTGTAAGATACAAATACACTCGGTTCTAATTGTAAATGTACGATCTGTAGGTATATTAACAATGACGGCGACGAAACAGAGAACGAATTAAATAACTATGCGACTTGAGTAATTAAATGATAGACACAAACATATATATACTACCCAGGGTAGGATCCCGTATAGTCAAATAAAGCCCGCGACGAATAACACGATGTATATGGGATGGAAGATGCCTGACTCAAACTTTAACCAGCCGAGAACAACTGCGAAGGAAGCATGGCATAATTATTACTGGGAACGGTAGACAACTAATACGGTGAATGACATTAAAGGAGCGAAAGCGGTTCGCCCGACGGTGAAACTGGGCGTCAACACCTGTTCCTCGTTGAGTGCAATCGGCCCGTCGTCTTTTTGGCAATCGGAGGTATAAGCTGGTCAGCGTTAACTTACAGATTATATTACCGGATCATGATGCGGACAGATATGGACACTGAGCCGAGTATAGACCTAACGAGCCAACGGCGGGCGTCGCATGCAGGGTATTTTGGTTGCGATTGTAGGACTGAACAGGCGCATACGCTGCACACCTCCATCGCTTGACTTTCGATTTACGACCGTAACAAAATAATTTTAATCCACAAATCTAAATTGACCCAGTCAACTCTGTACGAAGTTTACTGACGCAAAAAACACAGTGTGAAGATGGAGGTGAGTGGCGATGGCCCGTCACATCCGTCAAGTGGATCTAATAGTCCTCATGACAACTTCTTTTTTTAAACATTTACTTTTGACAACCTCTAAGCTTAAGTGTGAACGATATATTATTATCGATAGCGAAGATTCTTCTACATTGACGCTCGATAGAAGATACCGTGAGAGAAAGTAGATGTGAGATAGACGGCGGGAGAAAAGGGGCGACGATTACGCTGACGATACGAATAGTTATAATGGTGAATATAATTAATAATAGTAACAGCAGCAGCAACAACAACAACAATACTGATGATGCATTGGTAATATTATGTCGCCGTTGATAAAGTGGGTAAGCTAATACACGGCAACCGTTCGACGACATTCACCCAGATCGCGTCACCCTTAGACAGTGATCAGAAATGATCGAGGTGGCCGGTAGCCGATGGTCTCTGCTTGCTGGCCTTTGAAATGGTCGATAGTGGCAATCCACCCTCATCAGCGGTGTCAACCTGTATATAAGCCTGCGGACGATACTACATGAAAAGGCACACACGCCGGACACATCAGACCTAAGAGGTACATCCACGCCCACATACGGATAGAATACTGAAGGTGATGTGCGTAAGATCATATGTAAGGAACACGCGGATGAACGAACAAGGTCAAGCTGCTGACTGCTTGAGTGAGGCACGGGGCCTCGCCTTCTAATTCTTTGAGTGCTAATTCTTTTTCCAATAGAAATGGCGAACGTATGACAAAATACAAATAGATTTTACTTGTCTAAAAATAAAGGTGAGCAAGCGCTATATATATAACAGATGGCGAACGAATTTGAGCTGAGACCGAGGAGTGAAACGACCATTTATTATTAGTATGTGTTATTAGTCTGAGTTCATCGTTCCTCGCTCGCGTCCACCTAATGTCGACGGACGTAGGTCAAAAAATCAGACGGCAGAAACCGCTGACTGGAAAGAGCGGGCTTCATCTCGGATCATACTACAGGGTACGTCATTGTGTTAAGAATATTATGAATTAACGATGATATAGGTGCAGCAGCAACAGCCGGTAAAGTAGTACAGTAAATAACATAGATACAACAGCAAGAAAGAGCAAGGGCGATTCGGATGATGATTTTAAAGCAACGAACAGGCACTTACATAAAAAGAGCTCGACTATATATAGCTCGTGTGACACAGACTCATTACACAACGAAGTTCCCGCTATAATATATTCATGATTATTAATACTATCGGCGGCATTAACTAATTATTATGAATTAGCCCCGGGGGCGCAACGCGAACCGAAGCCGGAAACCAAATTGCTCACTCAATTTTACGGAAACGAATTCTGTAACTTTGTAACAGCAGGTTATCGTTAGAAGTACTAGAATAAAAAAATTAAGGCAGGTGTAGTACGCGGGCGAATGAAAAGCAACGATATATGCCAAGTGGCAAAAAAAGATTTGGCTATAGGCGTTATGAAAAACAAGGTAGGATAGTCGCCAAAAATCAGGTAAGCGATGATAAGTATATATAGTATACCAAAACAGATACAGCAATGGATATCGACTAAATGAGTAATTCACTGGTATGATGTAATACAATGGCAAACAGGGACAATTTAATCATATGAAAGTTAGCGAACAAATAAAACTCCATCTGTTAACTTAATGTAACCCTAACTAACGCTGACAATAAAAAACATAAACCGTAGAGAATCACCGTTACTCTAGCTGAGGTAAATACCCGTGACACGAGGAAAAGTAAAACAATAGGGAAATATTCAAATAATAAGGAAATCACACAAGTATCAATCAGATAACGAAAGGTGAAAACAGGAGTCTGACAGATGCTGCTTATAAGATGCTCTCCAGAAGTACGGTAAATAAAAAGCACATTATTTAAATGACGAACGGCCATCGAGGCTATTTATTTCATCTACAGTGGATAATATTTGAATATCATTATAATAATGTCGGAACATTAATAATAATAATCGGATAATGTAACGGAACAAACGGCAGATCACATAGCGTTCTCTGTAAAACTTCTTGGCAACATTTTTTTCTTTCATAACAATTTTGTCGATTTACTTAAGCACTCTAAACAGCAGCCACAAAAGCACGGTAACGGCACCGTGCCAAAGCCGGACAGCGCTCGACAATCGTAGAAACATATGCTCGCCAATCACAAAAGATAACTATATTGAGATCATCGAGCCAGCTCCGGACAGGCTGCCCGTTAGAACATCGACACCTGCAGAAAAATACTTTCACAGAAATCGTTTTTTTTTTCTCTCTTTTTTTTTTTCAAAGACAGTATCTCGACAGCACCGAATTGGAAAACCAGTAACACAGGGACGCACATTTGCTGGCAGTGCGTAAATCAAAGTATCGAAAGCCTGTACGCCCGGTACTTTCCGGAGCGGTGCTGTGCAAAGAGGTACTCCAAACTGAGGATCGGCTATAAAAAGAACTTTTTTTTTTTTTTTTTTTTTTCTGTTTTAACATAGCATGAGCGGTCCAGTGACAATGAAGCTTCATATCAAAAGTTCACAGGTTCTGGTAATTTTACCAGACGGTATCCCACACTTCGCATTACAGAAAGCATTGCTTCAAGCACCTGCAACAGATCGAAGATCAAAAAGAACTTCCGAAAATTAGCTCATTATCGAACGTTTCACATAAACTAGACTTTTCATATAACTAATTAAGCAAATTTCGACAGAAAGTTCCCTGTCGTGTTAAAGAAGGCTATCTTGAAAATTTTGGTTATGCCGGATTAAAAAGATTGGTTTCTGACTTTCCGGAGATGTTACAGAAATGCATTAAAAATAAAAAAGAAACTACGTGTTATTATATGAATATCACCGGGGGAAATACTCGAAGGGAGTGGCTTTACACAGTGGATTAATCTGTTTTTCTTCGGCAAAAATTAAAACGTCGTTAAATTACATAATTAACTAATAATTACATAATAATATTTAATTAGCACACTGGTAATCTAGTTACAACATCCTAATATAACTATCTGTAAATGATATATCAAAGATCTAAACGCAACAAACGAGAAAACTGCCTAGTAATTTTAATGATGCTGAAATGCATAGTTTCCAGAGGTAGAGCAACCTCTATTTTCAAATATAAATAGCATCTTAATTTCATTAGATAGATATGAACTAATTGCCTTTTGGTGAGCTATATATAATCTACATCAACCGTACCTTGACAGGACATTCATCGAGAGGCGCTCGGCAATGCGCTAATTCTAGAATACTAACTACGTCAGGGTCGCATTGGCTAAACATCCGTCTGGTCTCCTCAAGATGAGGAGATTCTTGCCCTACGGCAAGCAAAACAGGGCAGCGAAAATTTCGCTTGTCAGTTTCCAGACAACTGGTCCGCCGCTGCAGTCCAAGGGAGGGTCTTTTGCTATAGGCCTCCATCCAACCAGAAAGATTTCTTGGGTTCTGGTTCAAAATACGCTCTTCGAATCGTTGAAGAACGTTCGGCAAACCAACTCCATCTCGTCCACAGTGGTACCAACGTAAGTACTCCTGCACTCCGCGATTGAAGCCACTGGCCGTCAGAAGGGTTGTATAGGTTCGAATATATGCTTGGTCTGCCCAAGACGCTGCCTCGGAGTTTGCGTTGATGAGCACAAGTCCTGACACAAGTTCGGGATTCTCGAGGGCTAGTAAGCTGAGCACAAATGCCCCGGCTCCGTAACCAAGTCCCATAAAATATGAAATGCCGTGCTGCGCTAAGACATATTTGACTCCAGAAACAAGTTCCGTCATTGTGGGATACGTACTCGGACCTTCCGGAAGTGCCTTAGCACCGCTCTCTTGACCTGGCATATCTATATGAACGATACAAAAGTTGTTCATTAAGATTCGCATATCTGGCTCGTTGAAAAATTGATGAAAATTGCTATTGTGATTGAGGGCAATGTCGTGCACTGTTACTAAGATGGCAGATCTGGAATCTCCAACAATTGTTACAGTAAACTCTCCATAGGGCGTGTTAACTTTCCGTACCTGTAATAAAAAACTATAATTGAAGATTATCGGTTTTACATCCACGCTAACCAACCGCATCGTTGTGTGCGATACGTATCTAACGGATGGCAATGCATGTCCAGATCACTTTCATTTGACAGTAAACCACATGTTCTGGCCATTTATACTTAGGAGTTAAATGCACAAGGCACATCACAATAAAACACGGATAGAGTCAATAGTGAATCTTGCGACCCGGGCTCCACAGCTGAGCTACGTGCCAGAGGACGGCCTCATCTTCGATCGTCTGATGATCTCCGCTAGGGTTTTTTTAATATCAGTGGATTGCACAAGAACGATAATTATCAAATTCTATGAAAAGTGTTGCATCGGACTGAAAGCCCACACAGTGCACCGAAGAGGCAAGCAGATCTAATGGCCGATCAAGTTTTCATCGTCTTAAGCGAACTCTCCAGTGATACAACGAATGTTGCAGCCGGCATTGCAGATTTCTTCAAGTTCGTTGTACCCTCGACAGCCATAGTGCATCCGATGAATATAGTGGGTTTGTGAACAATAGACATGAGCTGGCAGGGACGACTAATATTTCACCTTATCAGACGTGGTGTCTAATTTGGGCATCTAAGTAAAGAACTTCAGATTACAATAATGTTCGTTAGTTTCCTTGTTAGTTTCTTATCGAAAAGGAGACGACTATATCAAGTTAAAACGAGTTGTTTCATCGTGAATGGGACGATAGAACCCACTCGATTCGTTCATACAATAAGACGACTAGTAAAGGTTCCAACATATTTAGGTTGATGTAAAAATAAAAAATGATGTTGTCTGGAGTAGATGTCAAACGTTTTTACTACGTTACAGCAAAGAACCTTGCACGTAAGCTCCACAAAGGACGAGTTCTGCGCCAACATTTGTAAAACGTGCCATCCGGACAGAAGCATATTACTTCATAAAGAGGTTACTCCTATTAACCGACCACGACATTTTCAGATGGAGCGATAATTGAGCATGAAACCTAAGGATAACGTATATCGATTTCTAGATCGCATATTTGTTGAAGAGTTCACAAGTTCTATGACATGTCTATCAGTTGCAGGTATAATCTTTCGTGAAGTACTTCCAATTTTGTAAAAAATCTGATCTGACAAAACCACACGGATTGGACATACTAATCAGATTAATACAAATTATTAATTATATAGAGTATAAGCCCATACTGATGAAGATAATTCGTATGTTTATATATGAGCAGATGATAAGGTCGCATCAGACCCGTATGGTGACCGAAAGCAGGATACTGTCTTCTTTCTGCAAAACGAAGTCGCTAAAGCTAAGGAGAGGCGATGCGTTGTGAGAAAGGGCGCTACGCTATGCAATGCGAACATTGAAAGCGTTTATAACGTTTTTCAGGGGTCAGCAGCAGGAGATTCTTTTAGACCAATATGCTAAGTCAGCGGAACATTTTCGATAGACGATAAAGAGAGGTCCGAAATCTTGAAGAGGCACTTCGAAAAGACCTCCACCGAGAGATCATCGAAATTTGGCAACGAAACCAAAGAAGTATGCCTGCCACCTCAAATAGTAAAATACTTCGGCCGTAGAATACTTAATTCGATTAGGCAACCAAGTATGGCAGGTTTCATTGTTTTGACGCTATACATCCTGACCTTTCTTCTGCTGTCGAATACGGCACATACTTAAGGCTGCTCGTTCTCCGGGAATTTGGGGTAGAAAATCTACTGGTAACCTTCTAGCTCATCTGAATGGAATGAAGCTCGTCTGAATGGTTAGTATGCTTGGAAGGCTAATATAACGGCTAGATGTTTTCAAGGTACTCGTTCTTTCGGCTCTTTAATGTATATAAACCCTCCAGTGTGTACACAATGCCGCCATCACTATCAATCAAAATATAAGCAAATCTATTAATAGTGCTCAAGCGAATTTTATCTTGCAGCAGAATTTGCTAGATTTTTATGACTGGACTTAAAGGCTTGACCTCAGGTTTAGACTTTAAACCTAAGGATATAACTGAAGATTCTGGTGTTATCACGGCTGCCTCATCAAAACATTCAGAACATATGGTGGCGTGACGCAACGTTTAAACTGGATTCCACGAGATTTCATGATAAAAGGTTATAGCTTAGACTATTTTCTCTAATATGCTGAACCGCTCATCATCGACGCAGCGCCAGTGTCAAATCCAGGCTTAACCAAAGATAGAAGGCTTTTGGAATTTAAGTACATCTGTATAAAAAATACTACTTTAGGGCTAATCTAATAGGAGCTTTAGTTAATATTACATCTATTTTAGATCGTTTTGAGTATATTAATGTTTACAAAGGTGGACAAGGGCAAGTCGCGTTTGTTGGAAAGACTGCTACATTACTTAGACAAACACCAGAGCAAAAGATAGTATTATACCTATACGCTTAGCTTTTCCATCCCATATGGCCATAAGGGCTTAGATGCAGAAAATGAGTGTTACAATATATCTCGTTTGTAAAACCGTAAACATTTTCAATAAAGTGGTTAAATATGCAACAGAATCAGCGATTGCGAATAGTAAACCTAATACATTGACAGATGCACCTTACCCGTTCGGGCTTGTTTACTGACAAGTGATTTGTGGAGTCTGGGTTTACCTACACGGCTGATCAGTAAAAGAGTCTTTAAATCGGAATAAGAATAAGCATACCTCGTCAATAATACCCTTCAGCAGCTTTACCTTTAAAAGTTCAACCAGTCTTAAAAACTATACAATATAGCCAATCGTAGATATTAAGTACATAAAGGAAACAGGACTAAACCTAATATAGACTCTATCAAATAACAGTATACTAGTATTTGAAGATCCTTAGAACTCACTAATTACTAATATAATAAGTTAAAAGGAGCGTTTTTTTTAACACGTAGAAAAAAGTAAGATAATAAATCAAGAGTCAGACCTTTGTTCTGTCGAACACCTTTTGTTTTGTTGAAAACTTATGTGTCGCTCGTCGAAGAATGCGTCCGTGAAATCAGACTTCTTGCAAGGTACTTGCACAAGCCTACAGTTTGAAAATCGACAACTAATCTATTAGAATGTATAGAGGTTTGTACATGCCAGCAGTGATCTCACCTGTTTCTTCACGAGGGAAACGTCAGCGAAGAACAATGCAAGGTTTTCCACAAAAGAATTATCCATTTAAATCCTGTTTCGGTACAACTCGAATGTTGCAGATTCTTCGTTAACGGCTTCTCGAGTACAATAATTAGCTACCACTGTACATCGATTTCACGGTGATGGTCAATGAGGCTCGTAATTCAGACGGTTCAGGCTTTTCGCGATTGCCTTAATGTGGCTACCTGGATTTTACCTTTCGATCGATTAGGACACAATTTCCAGCTGAAAAGAACCACACAAAAGACAATGGGTCCAACGAGTTACATCTAGTGACTGCGAGCGGGACATTTCTTAAGCATTCTAGGTCAGTGCAGGTGTAGCGCACGAGATATGCTGAGGGCATTTTGCATTCATATGTGCGGGTTGCTACACACCGAGGTCTGTTGCACATCACAGACACGTTCGGCATATAACAATTTCCTTTTAATATCAACTCAGTGTGCAGATAGGTTGAAACACGTACGATCTTACTGATTTCACGTCGAATATCACTATCTAACATAACTCACTGCAAAGCTCGATAACTAAATTGGCTCCTCATACGAGCAAAGGTTAAATTAAAAACTTGCTAACTCAAAAAAGTGTAGAAATGACCAGTGCCGAGTACTGTTGGTACACAAGTGATGTCAACTAATACAAAATGCACCGGTTTATTGGGAATCTAAATGCTATTAAATTTACTGAATAATCACTATCACACCTTTCTTTTCTCGTAACCATGTTATTGAATCCTTCTGGTGAAAAGTTTTCAGGCCTGGTGTTGAAGGTGTTCAGCGAAGCAACAGTTTGATGTAAACAATTCTAAAAACAATAGCTGCGGAATTGAAGACCACAGCGAAGGCGACTATGCCTCGAGAGCTTAAAAGAAAGACGACATCATCTGATCACAGAAGGTCTAAAGCGACGCAAAACATAGGAAGTACGCTCCCTATTGGCTTACCATGGAATTCTTTGAAGAACTTGTTGTCAAACCGTAACGCAGGTGCGGAAGATGAAAACCAAAAGCAACTAGTAGGTAATGAAAACAAGTGTGGTATACTCGAGAGCCAATTTGCTGGATTAGTTCTAGAGAAAAAATCCCCCCGAAGGACACTGTTGCGATAGACGAGACATATATGATACTCGCACAATGTCGGGAACATTGCGAGGTACTGTCCGCAAAAAGAAACTGTTAATTCACGCATTTCGGAAAACCCCACGTATGTACCGTGTGGTGACCAACAGCAAATGGTGTGACTGTTCGAGAGCAATGCAACAACTTCCGTGCCACGCTTCAATCATGGCCCGAATCAAGAAGAACATAGAGGTATGGCTTCGATAGGCCCTGATAGTTCTTACAGTGAAGCTGGCATCATTTTGAATGCTTAAAACTGTATGTCGTAGAAAGGGCGATAGCTTACGTACCAATTTCCACTGTCGTTTCTCTAAAGCAGGTCATCGACAAGGAGACTAAGCATAGCGAATCACAAATACAGAGCTGTTGGAAAATCGTCTAATAACAAGGTGCTATGAATAAAAAAAAAAGTGTACCAAAATATAGTAATTGATCCATTGTCAAGCGAAGTTTTCCAGAAGAAAACACATGAAGGGGCAACAAAAAGCACATACGTAGAAATCGAACAGCCATTAAATAGAATGCTTGAGATAACTAAAGTAGATTACGAGATATGAAGTAGAACACCATCTTCTCACTTCTTCCCAAAGCAGAATATCTAAAGATGGAATGCACGATACCAACAATATTTAAGTTACGCAATTTTGTCGTATAGCCGTGATAGCTAGTTACGCACAAAATAGCGATTATGTTAGGTTTCACTTATGTCGAAAAAAGGAAAAGTACTAGATGCATAACGTAGCAAACAACCACCGTTACTTGCAAGGACAAACATTTGAAAGTAATTGGAAATAGAACAAATAATGTATCTACCTTGTGCCATTTCTAGTTCAACTCAGATTTATCAAGTTAAAAAGTATTATGTAAATGAAATATTGTACTCCATGCTTCAGCGCGCTCTTCCAAATTCCGCTACGACACCTCACAGCAAAACGTGTTTCATACAAACGAGTGTAAGCTTATAAAACCTTATACTCAAGTTTATATGAAATAGTGGCATCTTCATAATAAAATATCTGAAAATTATGTTAATAGTTACACAGGCAGACTCTACAATATTATTTGTAGATATCATCCAATCTAAGTTCGCATTTCAGGTCTCTAATGATGTGCGCAGTCCTTAACTCCAGCGTTAGACTTTATCTGTGATATCACTGGGATTGGGACTATGGAGCAAAGGTGGACACATTTTGGTAGAGGAGTTCTTATAGCGTTACTGCAAAAGCATATCATTTTGACAGCTGACAGTAAGAGACTGCGGATAGCATAAGGTTACCCGAAAGTCCGAAAAGATCTGGATAGAGTTTAAAGCAAGACGAAGGCTCAAGGGACCCCAAATGGGCAGAGTTTCGAAAGAATGAGTTTATCGTTAACCTGCGCTTTAAAGTTTCTGTTTCGTTCGTAGGACTGGCGATCCGCTTATAAGTTTGGATATTTGGCCAAAAAATTTACCAAGTAAAATCTCATGCTTGACTCTAGTGCATATCACCGATAAATCGAAGTAAAAACGATCGAAACTCATACCTGTGAATTTTGTATACAGAATTCTCGTTTGTAATATTTTAGCGTTGACCTGAATTTCCTTTTCGTAAAGGCATGCGGATACGAATCTAGAAGTTCCCTTGAGAATAGCAACGTAACCACATGATCAAGTAGGAGTTTTTGAAATAAAACCTAGGCAATGGACCTTTGAGCGGTATTTATTTGCGGTTCTTCTACCCAAAAATACTGTTTTCATACTACTGGCTAACTGTGAGCAACAAAAATTGCGCTATCTTGTCTGCGATTATTTAGAAAGGAAGGTAGGCCATTAAGCATAAAACTCGAGGAAGCTAAATTTCTTATCTTGCTGATAATTATTTGTTTCAAAAGCAACACAGATAGGCAAATATCACGTTCTCATAATTTGATTGAGTACAATTTTCTACACTGGGCGAGCAAGTGCTATGAAAATATATTTGCTTTATGAGAGTCTTTTTCTATTGGAGCGTTCGTTCATTTCTATTATTTCAAGCCCACACTTACTTTAGAGTTTCGTGTTCGCTTATTTGAAATACAGGTTGGGGCTTTATCCTATTGTCCAATTGCGAAGCTCTATTTTGCCTCTAATTCATCCCAGTTTAACTTGTAGTACACATCTGTTTCCATATGGGTAGCGATTTGCTGTCCCATATCCGCCGTTGGTCAAACCTAACGTTTGCTCTTGTTGGCCCTACTCCTGCGGTGGGCACCTCGGTTAACATAGAGTATCGGGGGACTTCACTCTCGAGCAAAGATGGGCAAGCCATGCCTACGTTCTGATGTGGCGATAACATTTAAAATGGAATTGGCACGAACACATAGCAATACAAAGGGGCGGTAGTGACCAAAACCGCGTCGCTTCACCAACCTACTCTGAGACACCCCATTGCTCCCCTGTGAGGGTGCGCTGCTCGTAGGTCGGCTGGTACGACTCACCATGCTTTATAATTGGGAGGCAGGTAAGCCGTCCATAAAGCCGCTGGTACGGTGAAGTTTTCTGGTCCAGTTGGCTGCAACTTTATGATAATTATGCGGAACTCCCCTATTCCATAGAGAACATCATCCACCGCAAAAATAATACCCAGCGGACAGCATTGTTACCACGTAACATAAATACTTTCGAGCAAATTCATTCACAATGATGCGACCATATAGGTTATGTCTATTTGCCTAAATTCGGTCAGACTCGGCCGAAATTGTAAGCGGCACACTACTTATCACTACAGTCACTAACTATAGTGCCTGCCAAAGGTATCAACTGAATCTTTTTTCGAAGCGTCTTTGTACCTTAAACTTTGATGATTTTTTTAAGGACCAATGGTTTTCTGAGCAGAAGACGACAAATGTCCTATAGTTGATCTACGCGCTAACGGAAAGAGTGTTGTGTATAATGTCACAGCTGATCTCGATATATAATTCGTATTTGGGTGCGTTGAAAGACGTTTGAATTTCTGTTCTATCCGAATAATCCTCCATATTGATAAGCCGGAGTTTTATTTAGCGCAAGTTATCGAAAGTTAGTCAAAATTATGAGAAGAAAAAAAGTGAACGAAGCCACTGAACCTCGATCTTGCTCCCGCTAATACTTTCTGTATTTTCCAATTAAGTATAAAGTTAGCTCGTCCTTAACATTATCCGTTATGTTGTTTATAATATCTTTCATAGAGCATTATATTTTACTATATAATACTTGTTACTTACTTACCCTTTATTTGAGTCTTACATTTATACGGGTCTATTTCTAGGATTCTCTATAGGTTTACAGCAGAGTTCCCGTATGAGATCGCTTTACGCATTGTATTTCAATAGACCTGGTCCATTTTGTGGGCGACTCGTCCATGAAATCCTCATAAACCGAAGCTAACCCACCATACTCACTGTATTTTCTCTATTAATACTGTGCTTTTCTAAAAAGTTCATGGAACATATGTCTTAAATATTGACAAACAACTTGCATACTGCATAGAAAATCTATAATATTGGGTCACTCGGTGCGAAATAGGAGACGATAAACTCTGAACGTTTCGAATTTCTTTTACAAACGTAATTGAATTATATTTACTCAAAGTATGCACCATTATTATTAACATTTGAACTTATTTATATCACTACTATAGAAGTTTAAGGTACAGGTCTAGAGTATATCGGAAAGTAGTTTCAACACTGTGTTGAGATTTGAACTATTTTCCAACCGAGACATTGTCGGAATTTTAATCTGTAGGACAACGTCTGTTAAGTATAGTGGGTCACAAGACATTTTAACGTGACTTTTGTCATGTGGGGCTGTACGCTATCGTGCAGTAAAAATGGTTCAGTTCTGTGTACACGCAAAATTTGCTCATCATCCTCTTGGATTTTCGATAGCATATTTTAACGGTAATCAGTGAATCGGGGCTTATGAAGCTGCAATAGATAACATCTTCGCTCGACCTTCGAACTGTACTGTTAGTTTTAAGGTAACTGCGCCGAACGATCCATGGGACAACTTGCGATCACCGTTGTGAAAAAAATGATGTGAAACAGATCATCATCATAAATGCAATTCAACACGAGAATGGGTCACTGTTGTTGGGCCCCAAACGTTTCT